AGGCTACCTCCCTAACCAGCAAACCAGTAACTAAGGGTCTGACGATCGGGGCTCCATCGTCAGATCAGTTCCCAGGTTCAGCCAATCATATTCTGGAACTGGCATTTGTGAAGGTGACGTGGATACCGCTCACATTTTCACCCAGCTGGTGGTTGAACACGGTTGTCCATTCTGTCTCCAGGCTGTGTCTTTGCCTCTTGATATACTGTGTTGAACACATACATTTCCAACTGTATATAGTGCACATTCAGCTGTGTTTGTTCTGTTCCTTGCTCCCCTTTACACCCAGGATAACAGTCCTGTTTCTGTTCCTGTGTTGTAATACAGATGATGCGTAGTTGATGAGAAGAATTCAATTGGAAGAGGACGATGCAGAATTACAAAGGGATCTGGACAGGCTGCAGGCTTGGTCCAGCATCTGGCTCCTGGAGTTCCACCCCACCAAAAGCAAATTCATGAAGATTGGGGAAGGGCAGAGAAGACCGCAGACGGAGTACAGTCTAATAGCCAAAGACTACAAGCTTCACTTAAGGAAAAGGATCTTAGGGTGAGTGTAACATCGGGCACATCTTCTGAGGTACATATCAGCCAAATAACTGCTGCAGCATTCGGGCGCCTAGGAGACCTTAGAACAGCATTCCGACATCTCAATAAGGAATCATTCAGGCCCTGTACACATGTATGTCAGGCCTATATTGGAGTATGCAGCACCAATTTGGAATCTACACTTAACCATGCATGTAAGAAAGTGAGAGATAGTGCAAAGGTTTGCAGCAAGTCAATCCCGTAGTTTAGGGGATGTCCTACGAGGAAAGGATAAGGGAAATTGACCTGACGAAACTGGAGGACAGGAGAGGTAGGGAGGACATGATAACGACTTATAAAATATTAAGAGGAATCGACAAGGTGAACAGAGACAGGATATTCCAGAGATGGGACACAGCATCAAGGGGTCATAATTGGAAGTTGAAGACACATATGAGTGAAAGGGATATTAGGAAATATTTCTTCAGTCATAGACTTGTCAGGAAGTGGAATAGTCTGGGAAGTAATGTAGTGGAGGCAGGATCCATGCACAACTTTAAGAAGAGGTATGATAAAGTTCATGTGTCCTTGTTTGCAGATAATGTGAAGTTAATGAGGAGAATCAAATCAGTCGAGGATCAGGCAAGACTACAAAACAGACCTGGACAGGCCAGAAGCCTGGTCCAGCAACTAGCTCCTTGAATTTAACCCTTCGATATGCAAAAGCATGAAGATCGGGGAAGGGCAAAGAAGACCGCAGACAAAGTATAGTCTAGGTGGCTAAAGACTGCAACCCTCACTCAAGGAAAAAGATCTTGGGGTGAGTACAATACCGAGCATATCTCATGAGGCACACATCAATCAGATAACTGCTGCAGCATACGGGCATCTGGCAAACCTAATGATAGCATTCCGATACCTTAGTTAGGAATCATTGAAGACTCTGTACACCATATACGTTAGGCCCATACTTGAATATGAAGCACCAACTTGGAATCCACACCTAGTCAAGAATGTCAAGAAACTAGAGAAAATGCGATGGTTTGCAACAAGACTAGTCCCAGAGCTAAGGGGATTGACCTACGATGAAAGGTTAAGGGATATTGGCCTGAAGACACTGGAGGACAGGAGGGTCAGGGGAGACATGATAACGACATATAAAATACTGCGTCAAATAGACAAGGTGGACAAAGACAGGATGTTCCAGAGATGGGACGAAGAAACAAGGGGCCACAATTGGAAGTTGAAGACTCAGATGAGTCAAAGGGCGTTTGGAAGTATTTCTTCAGTCATAGAGTTGTCAGGCAGTGGAATAGCCTAGAAAGTGACGTAGTGGCGGTAGGAACCATACATAGTTTTAAGGCAAGGTCTGATAAAGCTCATGGAGCAGGGAGAGAGAGGGCCGAGTAGCAATCAGTGAAGAGGCGGGGCCAGGAGCAACGACTCGACCCCTGCAACCACAGATAGGTGAGTACAAATAGGTGAGTACACACACACACACACACACACACACACACACACACACACACACACACACACACACACATCAAAGGGATGTTAGGAAGTATTTCTTCAGTCATAGAGTAGTCAGGATGTGGAATGGCTTAGCAAGTGACGTAGTGGAGGCGGGAACCATACATACACACACACACACATACAGATAGAAATTCGAGAAAATGGAAGGCATAGATGAGACGGGAGAAAGAAACTACATAGCACGTACACTTCAGTCTGGGGAACACAAAGTGGTCATTGCAGTGATGTATAATCCACCACAGAACTGCAGGAGGCCAAGAGAGGAAAATGAAGAGAGCAACAGAGCAATGGTGGACACACTTGCTGAGGTGGCAAGAAGAGCTCACTCCAGCAGAGCTAAGTTGCTGGTTATGGGGGATTTCAACCACAGGGAGATTGACTGGGAAAACCTGGAGCCACATGGGGGTCCCGAAACATGGAGAGCCAGGATGTTGGACGTGGTGCTGGAAAACCTCATGCACCAACATGTTAAGGACACTACCAGAGTGAGAGGGGAGGATGAACCAGCAAGATTGGACCTTGTGTTCACCCTGGGCAGCTCAGACATTGAGGACATCAAGTATGAGAGTCCCCTAGGAGCTAGCGACCACGTGGTTCTGTGCTTTGAATACATAGTAGAGCTGCAAGTGGAGAGAATAACAGGAGTTGAATGGGAAAAGCCTGACTATAAAAGAGGGGACTACATAGGGTTGAAGAACTTCCTGCGGGAGGTCCAGTGGGACAGAGAACTGGCAGGAAAACCAGTAAATGAAATGATGGAATATGTAACAACAAAATGCAAGGAGGCAGTGGAAAGGTTTATTCCCAAGGGCAACAGAAACAACGGGAAGACCAGAACGAGCCCCTGGTTTACCCGACGGTGTAAGGAGGCAAAAACAAAATGCAATAGAGAATGGAAAAAGTACAGAAGGCAGAGAACTCACGAAAATAGGGAGATCAGTCGCAGAGCCAGGAATGAGTACGCACAGGTAAGGAGGGAGGCCCAACGACAGTATGAAAATGACATAGCATCGAAAATCAAGACTGACCCGAAACTGTTGTATAGCCACATCAGGAGGAAGACAACAGTCAAAGACCAGGCGATCAGATTAAAGACAGAAGGTGGACAACTCACAAGAAATGATCAGGAAGTATGTGAGGAGCTGAACAGGAGATTTAAGGATGTTTTTACAGTAGAGACAGGAAGGGCTGTGGGAAGACAGCACAGAAGGGAACATCAAAAAGAAATATACCAACAAGTGTTGGATGACATACGAACAACTGAGGAGGAGGTGAAGATGCTCTTAAGTGACCTTGACATCTCAAAGGCGATGGGACCGGACAACATCTCCCCATGGGTCCTTAGAGAAGGAGCAGAGATGCTGTGCGTGCCTCTAACCACAATCTTCAACACATCACTTGAAACTGGGCAACTACCTGAGAAATGGAAGAGAGCTAATGTAGTCCCCATATTTAAGAAAGGAAACAGAAACGAGGCACTAAACTACAGACCTGTGTCTCTGACATGTATTGTGTGCAAAGTCATGGAGAAGATTATCAGGAGGAGAGTGGTCGAACACCTGGAAAGGAACAAGATAATAAATGAAAACCAGCATGGGTTCATGGAAGGCAAATCTTGTATCACTAACCTCCTGGAGTTTTATGACAAGGTAACAGAAGTAATACACGAGAGAGAGGGGTGGGTAGATTGCGTTTTCCTAGACTGCAGGAAGGCCTTTGACACAGTTCCCCACAAGAGATTAGTGCAGAAGCTGGAGGATCAGGCGCATGTAAAAGGGAGGGCACTGCAATGGATAAGGGAATACCTGACAGGGAGGCAGCAACGAGTCATGGTACGTGAAGAGGTATCACAGTGGGCGCCTGTTACGAGCGGGGTCCCACAGGGGTCAGTTCTAGGACCAGTGCTATTTTTGATATATGTGAACGGCATGATGGAAGGTATAGACTCTGAAGTGTCCCTATTCGCAGATGACGTGAAGTTGATGAGAAGAATTTAATCGGACGAGGATGAGGCAGGACTGCAAAGAGACCTGGACAGGCTGGCTTCTCGAATTCTGGCTTCTCGAATTCAAAATTCAAAATTCGAATTCAAAATTCGAATTGCAAAGTCATGAAGATTGGGGAGGGGCAAAGAAGACTGCAGACAGAGTATAGGCTAGGTGGACAAAGACTACAGACCTCACTCAGGGAGAAAGACCTTGGGGTGACCATAACACCGAGCACATCACCGGAGGCACACACCAACCAAATAACTGCTGCAGCATACGGGCGCCTGGCAAACCTGAGAACAGCGTTCCGATACCTTAATAAGGAATCGTTCAAGACACTGTACACTGTGTATGTTAGGCCCATACTGGAGTATGCAGCACCAGTCTGGAACCCACACCTGGTCAAGCACGTCAAGAAGTTAGAGAAAGTTCAAAGGTTTGCAACAAGGCTAGTCCCAGAGCTCAAGGGAAAGTCGTACGAGGATAGGTTAAGGGAAATCGGACTGACGACTCTGGAGGACAGAAGGGTCAGGGGAGACATGATAACGACATACAAGATACTGCGGGGAATAGACAAGGTGGACAGAGATAGGATGTTCCAGAGAGGGGACACAGGGACAAGGGGTCACAACTGGAAGCTGAAGACTCAGACGAGCCACAGGGACGTTAGGAAGTATTTCTTCAGTCATAGAGTTGTCAGCAAGTGGAATAGCCTAGCAAGTGAAGTAGAGGCAGGAACCATACATAGTTTTAAGAAGAGGTATGACAAAGCTCAGGAAGTAGAGAGAGAGAGGACCCAGTAGCGATCAGTGAAGAGGCGGGGCCAGGAGCTGAGTCTCGAACCCTGCAACCACAATTAGGTGAGTACAATTAGGTGAGTACACACACACACACACACACACGCACACACACACACACACACATCCATGGCATACGAGGCTTAATATTTACCTCTTACTTAAAACTGGAACAAGAGGACTGTCCTTCTGGCCGATCATAGCAAACATTAAAGGAAGGAACTCCTCCCTGGACTCATAAAAAGAACATTGTCCTGTAACGGGATGAAATAATTACTAGAATGGAGAATCATTTAGTGTTATGATAACAAATCATAATTTGGTTTTTGTGTAATTTTTATTTAATTTTCATCAAAACATCTTTTTATAATTGTACAAAACACTTTAAACCCTGAGACCAATAGAGACAATGGAACAATGACATATCGTTAAAAAGAAATAATTATGAAGTGCTTAGAGTTTTTTCCTCCAATCTGTTCATTTGATAAATGTTAAATATCTCATTTTATTAATGGTTTCAAGCTCTCAGATTAAGTGTATGAAAATGTAGAATCGTACTGTAAAAGTAATAAATTTGGAACAACAGTTTACTGTTTTTATTTAAGCATATTGTTCAGAGGTTTCCGATCGAAAATTTGAGACTCCGTCTTCATGTCAGCTCTGATTTTCAATTAATCATTGTTGAGATTGTTATTCAGTTGTGTTGGTTCCAGAGTTGTCAGTTGTTTTATTTTCTTGTTTTATAATAGACACTTTTTAAGTAAGAGCATCAAATTTATACAGATTTATTCACATAAGGAAATATTCTCTTTATTTTTAAGCTTTGTAAGTGCAAATATGTTGATTTTCTTACAGAATCAGTAGAATGTTAAATTAATTTCCTTCAATAACTTTCATGTGAGTGATTTAATCAGCTTCAAATTTTCCTTGCTTATATTTTTTTGCACAAAGATTGCTTGCTTTGTTACTCGCTATGCTCATTCTAAATCTAAAATTTTTAAGAGCATAGAAAAATTGGCTTCACTGCGATAACTGAAGAATATCTTACCTGATCTATTAAAAGTTTTAACCGCATATGTACAATAATTTATATAATAATTTAATGGCAAACAATAATTTAATAATAAACAAACACAATGGAATGTATTTTTTTTTCGTTTGGTTGAGAATGATTTTCGATATTATTGCACTCACACGTTTTCGTTTGCCTTATTCGGCAGGAAGAGCGCTGCTATTTAAGCCATGATGAAAGTTCGCAGTGGCCTCGTGGCTTAAGCTCTCGCTTCACACACGGAGGGCCCGGGTTTCGATTCTCGGTGGGGTAGAAATATTTCGAGGCGTTTCCTTACACCTGTTGTCCTATTCACCTAGCAGCAAATAAGTACCTGGGTGTTAGTCGACTGGTGTGGCTCGCATCCTGGGGGACAAGATTGAGGACCCCAATGGAAATAAGTTAGACAGTGTGACTTTGTCAATGGTCCAAGCCGGACCGAAACGTCGTTGTAAGCTTCTCTCTTTTATGTGCGGGTTATTTGTGTATCGTTCCAGTCACGGTATTGTGCCTTTTTGTTATTTATTTTTTAGACAGTCCTAGATGATGCACTGATTTTCTTGGGTTATCATGGGTGGCTAACCGTCCGGGGTTAAAAATCGGAACGAAATCTCTTACCAGTACTCCACCTGCTTTGAGCAGTCAGTAATCACACACACACTCTGTACCATTCAGGTCCTAGTTGTGCTCATTCATTCCTCTCTTACAATACCACAATACCCAAGGTAAGAGTCTATTCACCTGACTCCTTCCTGTAGAAGAAATATCAGAAAACAAGCGACGGGGACACTGTGTCTCTTTAACTTAAACAAGACATTGGAACCGGCATGTCATTACGATTTCGTGAGTCATATTAACACTGTCTGAAATGTTCTACAGAAACATAGCGGAAACGTGATCTGTTTTTCGACCCAGATTTGAGGAAGAGATGTAAAAAGCTCTCTTTGTATCACTTACTTCCCTCTCTACTCTATAGAATATTGCAAGCATAGAGCAATGAATATATTCAATACTACCAAAAAAGCCACCACCGAGAAACTAAGTTTCCATTTTGAAGTTCCCTACAAAACTATTCACACATTTTCGAGATGTAATATCCACATAGTTGCCATGGCGAGGTTGTCCAGTGAAGGAGAAGTTGTATTTTCAAATTGTCAAGCGGAAAAATAGTTTAAAACAGATAAACGTGAGCTCATTAATTATCTCAAATTTTAAAATTAGAAAATAAAAGGAGCTTCTTTTACAAAAATTGGTATATTACAATTTACAAATTTCTTTAAGGAAATCCCACCAGTGCTGAATGTTTTAAACTAATCCGAATAAAAACTAATAATTCTATACTTTTTTTTAAATTTTATGAAATTTTCAACTCTAATCAAATAAAAATATAAAATATAGAAAGTCTTTCTTCCCATTAGATGCACCATTCCTTAAACCTTAAAGCTAAAAGCTTTTAGGTCTCTGACGGATTTTAATTTCAGCTCTTCTCTCTGAAGAGAATTTCAATGTACAATTACTACATTACCCTGACTCAAGAAATCGTAATAAAACAGTTCCAACAAATCACGGAATGCACTGGCCTAAGAGTCTTTGGACTCACATACGATGGGTTCAAACCCCCATACGTTCGGTGATTTACTAGTTTTTTTTCCTGCCAAGTAGATAGTGGACCCTAGGGAGTGAGTTGCAGGAGACACAACTATCTTGGTGCAGTAACAAAACGCCTGCAGTTGTACATTGATTCTCACTAACCTGTGTGTGTAAAATCTTGTGCCATGTATACTTTCAAGCTCATGTCGACCTCCATGAGGACGTGGTCACCGCGCCTCACTAAGGTGTCAATGCTCACGGCAAACTGAGGCTGAGTTCTGTATATAAGGCGTCCTTTGTTTTCCAGGTTGGCGATCTCACGAAATATTCCAGACTCAACTGACTGAAGAAAATCGGTATGTTAAACTGAACACTTTAGTAAAATATTTTTAGAGTTCAATAAAGAAGAAAAATATAAAAAAAATATGAATTTTTTTTTTTCAGTTTAATGAAAATTGGCATATATTACTTCTATGTTTCACAATTTTTTTTTTTTCAGATTGATTACTTTAAAAATTAGCTAATGAAATTTGACTTTTCAGATTAAAATAAAATTTTGCCAAGATGTATTTATACCTCAACCAAACACAATTTTACACTTTTTGTTAGTTAAATTTCTTTTTATTGAAGAATTACTTTCATTACAATCAAGTGGTACAGAGTTAATAAACAAAGACCACAAGGCATGATAATGCAATGTTTCTAGGGCACACAAATAACCCGCACATAAAAGAGAGAAGCTTACGACGACGTTTCGGTCCGACTTGGACCATTGTCAAAGTCACACTAACGGAGGTGGAGCAGGACGGCTATATATAGGCAGGAAGAGGTGGAGGTAGTAGTAGTAGTAGTACAAGAATTGTATATACAATTGTATTATATACAATTCTTGTACTACTACTACTACTACCTCCACCTCTTCCTGCCTATATATAGCCGTCCTGCTCCACCTCTGTTAGTGTGACTTTGTCAATGGTCCAAGTCGGACCGAAACGTCGTCGTAAGCTTCTCTCTTTTATGTGCGGGTTATTTGTGTATCGTTCCAGTCACGGTATTGTGCCTTTTTGTTATTTATTTCTAGGGCACTTAACTATAGTCAGATTGATTGGAATTCCTTGCCTGGAATTTAGAGTCTAACGAATTCTTAGAGGCAGTTCAGGATTGTTTTGTTAAGCAAGTTGTTATAGAACCTACAAAGGGAAATAACGTGTTACACTTGCTTCTGGTAAACAAGGAAACCCTAATTAATAATTTCGAAATTACAGAGTTTGGCAAAATTATTATTATTATAATCAAGGGGAAGCGCTAAACCCGGAGGATTATACAGCGCCTGGGGGGGGGGATGTGGAAGGCATTCAGGCTTAATTCTGGGAACTGGAGCACAGATACAATTCCCTAAATCAAGAGCCCCTAACCAACTTCAAGGAACCTTCCTTGAGGGAGGAATTTGGCAAAAGCAACTGCAAATCAATTACTTTTATTATTGAATGGAAGTATGATAAAAAAGATAATTTAGTACTCTCCCAGATTTTCGCTCAGCAGATTACAATGGGTTTAGAGAACAACTATCATCTCTGGACTGGGGTAACAAAGAGAGCTATCAGCAGGACAGCTTTCTAAACACTATACATTCTGCCCAAAGAACATTAATTCCGTATAAAGAAATGAGATTGAATAGAAATGGCCAGAAATGGATGAATAATGAGCTCAATAAAAAATCACGTTATACAGCCTTTGAGTTCATTTTTCGAAGAAAAGCTAAACGGAGCTTTGAAATTAAAGTTACTAGAGATTGGGAAAACAAACCTCAAAGGTTTTTACCAGGTATATAGAACAAATGTTAGAGAAAAGATAGGTCCCCTTAAAAATAACTTTGCATATTACTGACAATGAGGATGAAATGTGTTTGATTTTTAATAATTATCTGCTTGTGGTTTTCACACAGGAAGACACTAAAGCAACATCTGGGTATCTCTGAAATTGAACATTAAAATGGTATAAAATACCGACAGGTTGTTAGGTAAGACACATATGCAACAGTTTCGCCTACACAGTAGGTTTCTTCAGTCGAGTACAGAAAAGTTGATAGAAGAAGAAAATACTTGAAGACGATGTAATCAGTCCATCACCCTTAATTAAAGTTTTGAGGTGGTCAGTCCCTCAGTCTGGAGAAGAGCATTGTTCCATAGTATGAAACAATATGGAGATGAAGTGACAGGATGGAGCGTTATATAGCGCCAAGAGGTGAGACGTAGGTCACTAGGAGAGGTAAGAACTCAGATGTTGGGAGGTCAGGTCCCTCTCAAATCCAGCCGCTCTCACTAGTGGAAGTTGTCGAAGTTGATTGCAGGTCTGTACCAAGATACCCTTGTGTTGATCGTTTCTGTACTCGACTGAAGAAGCCTACTGTGTAGGCGAAACGTTTCGAAATAAAGATACCTAACTGTTGCATATGTGTCTTACCTAACATCTCTGAAATTATTAGAATATTGTTAGTGTCTTGCCCATGAATGGTATACATTACTGACAAGATGAAAATTAGACACACTGGCAACGTCACACAACCTCACTGTAACTGACAGAATTTTTTTTTAGCTCAGTTCTGCTATATATATTAGAGGTGAATTTAAATACATTTAATATTACAATTAATCAGGTCAGGGGTCGAACCCTGAATCATTTACCAAACTGGGACAGGTCAGGGTTCGACCCCAAGACACATTGTTCCACCTCAAGAAACAACAAAATGTCCATGTACCTTATCCACTCAACCATCGATCCTACAAAGATTACGTGCCTAGCAGAGCTAAGTGTTGTTCGTGATCCCAGGACACTTGTGGCAGTGGTATGCTCAAGGATTAATTTCAGCCTCTTCCTGTTTGAAAACCCCCCTCCACAAACAGTCTATATACCAATGAAACCACGAAACAAGTATTTTTGAATCATTAACCAAAGTGTGGCAGGCCTGGGTTCGACACTACGACACATTGTGTTGTATCCTGAGGCGGGACAATGTACATGTCACCTTATCCACTCAGCCATCGATCCTACTAGCATGATCCTTGTAGGATCGATGGCTGAGTGGATAAAGTGACATGTACATTGTGCTGTCTCTTGAGAAGGAACACTGTGACGTGGGGTCGAACCCTGGCCAACCACAGTTTGATAACTGATTCAAAAACCAATTGTTATGTGATTTCTAATATTTTGTCAACCAAACTACTCTCATTTCTCTGTTAATTTCGGAAACCTCTTTATCCTCTTGTTCTTAAAATATTTTTTTTTTTTTTATTATCACACTGGCCGATTCCCACCAAGGCAGGGTGGCCCGAAAAAGAAAAACTTTCACCATCATTCACTCCATCACTGTCTTGCCAGAAGGGTGCTTTACACTACAGTTTTTAAACTGCAACATTAACACCCCTCCTTCAGAGTGCAGGCACTGTACTTCCCATCTCCAGGACTCAAGTCCGGCCTGCCGGTTTCCCTGAATCCCTTCATAAATGTTACTTTGCTCACACTCCAACAGCACGTCAAGTATTAAAAACCATTTGTCTCCATTCACTCCTATCAAACACGCTCACGCATGCCTGCTGGAAGTCCAAGCCCCTCGCACACAAAACCTCCTTTACCCCCTCCCTCCAACCCTTCCTAGGCCGACCCCTACCCCGCCTTCCTTCCACTACAGACTGATACACTCTTGAAGTCATTCTGTTTCGCTCCATTCTCTCTACATGTCCGAACCACCTCAACAACCCTTCCTCAGCCCTCTGGACAACAGTTTTGGTAATCCCACACCTCCTCCTAACTTCCAAACTACGAATTCTCTGCATTATATTCACACCACACATTGCCCTCAGACATGACATCTCCACTGCCTCCAGCCTTCTCCTCGCTGCAACATTCATCACCCACGCTTCACACCCATATAAGAGCGTTGGTAAAACTATACTCTCATACATTCCCCTCTTTGCCTCCAAGGACAAAGTTCTTTGTCTCCACAGACTCCTAAGTGCACCACTCACTCTTTTTCCCTCATCAATTCTATGATTCACCTCATCTTTCATAGACCCATCCGCTGACATGTCCACTCCCAAAATATCTGAATACGTTCACCTCCTCCATACTCTCTCCCTCCAATCTGATATTCAATCTTTCATCATCTAATCTTTTTGTTATCCTCATAACCTTACTCTTTCCTGTATTCACCTTTAATTTTCTTCTTTTGCACACCCTACCAAATTCATCCACCAATCTCTGCAGCTTCTCTTCAGAATCTCCCAAGAGCACAGTGTCATCAGCAAAGAGCAGCTGTGACAACTCCCACTTTGTGTGTGATTCTTTATCTTTTAACTCCACGCCTCTTGCCAAGACCCTCGCATTTACTTCTCTTACAACCCCATCTATAAATATATTAAACAACCACGGTGACATCACACATCCTTGTCTAAGGCCTACTTTTACTGGGAAAAAATTTCCCTCTTTCCTACATACTCTAACTTGAGCCTCACTATCCTCGTAAAAAACTCTTCACTGCTTTCAGTAACCTACCTCCTACACCATACACTTGCAACATCTGCCACATTGCCCCCCTATCCACCCTGTCATACGCCTTTTCCAAATCCATAAATGCCACAAAGACCTCTTTAGCCTTATCTAAATACTGTTCACTTATATGTTTCACTGTAAACACCTGGTCCACACACCCCCTACCTTTCCTAAAGCCTCCTTGTTCATCTGCTATCCTATTCTCCGTCTTACTCTTAATTCTTTCAATTATAACTCTACCATACACTTTACCAGGTACACTCAACAGACTTATCCCCCTATAATTTTTGCACTCTCTTTTATCCCCTTTGCCTTTATACAAAGGAACTATGCATGCTCTCTGCCAATCCCTAGGTACCTTACCCTCTTCCATACATTTATTAAATAATTGCACCAACCACTCCAAAACTATATCCCCACCTGCTTTTAACATTTCTATCTTTATCCCATCAATCCGGCTGCCTTACCCCCTTTCATTTTACCTACTGCCTCACGAACTTCCCCCACACTCACAACTGGCTCTTCCTCACTCCTACAAGATGTTATTCCTCCTTGCCCTATACACGAAATCACAGCTTCCCTATCTTCATCAACATTTAACAATTCCTCAAAATATTCCCTCCATCTTCCCAATACCTCTAACTCTCCATTTAATAACTCTCCTCTCCTATTTTTAACTGACAAATCCATTTGTTCTCTAGGCTTTCTTAACTTGTTAATCTCACTCCAAAACTTTTTCTTATTTTCAACAAAATTTGTTGATAACATATATATATTACATTAAAATTTTATATA